ATATATATATATATATACACACATACCTACACACATCCACATTTATCCAAGGGGAGGTACAGAGTTGGCCATAATACACAAGGTAGAGGGGTCACTTATCAAGACAGTAACAGGTGGTTATTGTGTACATTTTTGTAAATACATTTTCAGTGTGGGCCAAGATCCAGACAATCTGGAATCTGGCTGATTATCTAGGGTTATGGTGGCCTGTTCCATAGCAACCAATTCCAAAAAATCTTTGTTCCAATTCTGTACATCAAAACAATTATAGTTCCTTTCCTTCCAGTTCAGCAATATTATAATCTTGTATTTTAATGTTCATAACAGGCAAAAGCGTAGTTTTGTACAAGCTCAAAGACAGTCTTGGCATAAAAAACTTACAACTGTATTTGCAGCAAAGGATGGTTCTACAAACTATTTATTCTGGGGTTTAGAACAAATGTAGGTCATGCTCCGAAATTATATTGACATTGTTGCTTATAATCTCAATAAAAAAAACCATATGATCGGGTTTTAATAGGACAAAATATGAATGTTTTACCATATTCTGTCAGTGTGTGTCCATGATTTATGAAACTACCCTCCTTTTGCTACTCAGATACGCTCAGAGGGCCGCATCCTGAAAACTGATCAGGGTCTCCTCATCCGTTCGCTGCAATTTTCTGACAGCGGCATCTACCACTGCACGTCCACAGAGAAGAACTTCAAGCACACTCTGGTGAAGCTGCAGCTTGTTGTCCTCTCCAGCCGTACAGTCAACAACGTGCTGGTGGATACGGGCAACCCTGCCCTCCCCCAAATTCAGTCCAGCACATGGACCCCTAGTGTCGGGCAGTACAAGGACCTGCTGACCATCCTCAGCCAACCGGAGATGGGGCTGATCAACCAATACTGCAAGGACTACTGGCAGAACGGGGACGAAAGCCTCGGGGATAGCAAACCAAAAACCCTGAAGGAGTTGAAGGAGCAGAAGAAGCCCCGCAATCGCCGACATCACGAGGACCAGACGAATCCAGCAGAGACATGAAGAGTTTAGATGGACAGCCTGTCACCTTCAAACAGCACCCTTTGTCTACCTTCTTGTTTCCCCTTACAACCCTCTATTTAAGGGAAACGACTCCATTCAACAGACCATGAGAAAGAAAGCATCACACAGTTTGTATGTAACAGTTGGAAGAACAAACACAATATTTATTGTAGGTTGTACAAAGTAATTCTTTCTACCTATCTAGAAAACACGTTTTTGTGAATAGATCTGTGCAAATATTGTTATAATACTATTGTTATTATAATTATTAGCATTATTGTTTATGACATTGTGTTATTATGTTGGAAATATCTTTGTTTAGTGTTTCCTTTTTTAACAGCAACTATTTCCCATGACTTTAAAGATGTCCACACATACCAGAGTGGATAAACTTCCTATTCTTTGGGCAGTGATGTTGGATCTATTAACTGCTGGCATTGCCCTTCACCAGAACAGCCATTGCAAAAAGTGGACACTAAAGAACTGTACATGAAGCAGAAAAAAACTACCTTTCATAATGAAGGTAGGAATGCAGATAAACTGCAGCTGCAGCAGCTCGTTACAAACTCCCAGGAAACTCAAGTAAAGATTGCAAACTGCACTGTACCTATTCTTCCATGATAAGTTGCTGCCAAGTGTTGTTTTTTTTGCTTGTATGTAAACATCACATCTCATTGTTGTGTTCTCGACATCTTGTTAGAAGCTGTTTCCTTTTTTTCTTGTTTTCTTTTTTCGGAGGCTGAAGCTGAAAACGGAACAATGCCTTCCCCTTCTTTGGAGGTTATTCCAGCGGGCAGCTATATGTCAGTCTGTGATTTAAAAGATATATTAGAGAAAGCACCTTTTGTTGACAGATTGGTAATTCTTATTCAATTCTATAGAAAGTTCTGTTTTTAAAAATGTTGAACACCCTATATGCTACAATGCTGTGAAAAAGTATTTGCCCACTTTGCTTTTGCTGTTTTGTTACATTTAAATAGTTCTAATAATTAACCAGCCGTTAATACCAGGAACAATTAAGCAATTATGCAGCTTTCCTTTGTTTAATTTTTAACGGGGGAAAAAAAGCTAATCCTCACAAGTCTGTCATGTGAAAAACTATATCAGTCGTTTACATCTCTGTGAAGATCCAAGCTGGGGAGGATTTAAAACACAAACAGCTTATTTAAGGTGATGCCTCATCATCTGAATCAGATTTAGGTCAATTATTTAACTAGATTCATGTAAATTACCTTTTTTTTTGGGCCATTCAGATAAACTTGTTGCTGTGCTTTGGACCATCGTCCAAAGGGGGTTGAGCTCAAAGTATTTAATTATTATAAAGGGTATAACTAATGTTTCCATTATATAATGCAAGTTGCTATGATCCTGAAAGAGCAAAGAAGCCCCTTGAACATCAAACTGCTATACCAACATAGTTTTTTTTGTTGTTTGTCTGTTTTTTTTATTTGTTTTTTTGGGGGGTGGGGGTTGTTATATTTGTTTTTTTTGTTTTTTTCTAACAATATTTAAATTTTAATTTCAGATGTAATAGAGCTTTAGCTCATTTGAAGGGGGCTTTCTAATGGATGCTATTTTTTCCCCAGACTGTTTCTTATTATTGAGCCATGAACGCTGATTTTATCTGAAGAATGTGGTACCTGCAGTGCTTTTGGTGTTAATTTGTGACTTTCTGGATAACTAGTATGGGTCGACCACTCCTGGAAAGGTTCTCAGCTCTTTCATGCTTTCTCCATTTGTTGGAGTCTCTAAGCCTTTGACACGGTTTTGTTACCATTTGCAAACTGATGGAAAACAAAGTAATCAATAATTGTTTTTGCTTGAGTTTTTTAGCTCATGGCATGTGTTTTTTTTCCCCCTTTGAGATATTATTGCCTACTTGGCGTTGGCAGGCTTGAGGTGATTTCTGAACCCTTCATGTCTGTCAGTAACCAGAGCCTGGGTGTAGATAGTGAAACTGAACTTGGTTGTCCAGTCATCATTAATTCAACATAAACAGATGATTAGTTATTCACACAGATCCAGGCTAGTTAGGATTTTCTTTTTTTGCTATATTAATCATTAAAATTGATATTAGGAACTATATTTAACAATTATTTATTTACTCAATTACTTTTCATTATTAGAAATTGTTGCAAAACGTAACACTTTTTCACTGCACTGTAGTTTTTTCATTCCTACCATTTTCATGTAAATATTGGTGAAAATAATGTAATCAGTCTACACAATTGTGCAGATTTATAGTGCTATGATAACTGGTGCTGTACTTTATGTATCATCTGGTTAAAAGAGAGCTTCAGCAGCTCTATTTGTCCGGGTATGGAGCCATCCTTTATTACTGGTGCCACAGACTTCTTACAAACGGCGTAGAAAAATGAGAAAAAAAAAAAAAAAACAGTACCACAATCTTCAGAAATTGAATTTTAAATGTGCATGGCATGTACAGTGTATGTATGTGGTGTTTTTGTCTGAAATGTTGCCGTGGATGTCTTGATTGTTGTCGGAATTCAGACCTTTTTTATTTTGGAAGAAATGCTGAAAGGTCAGAAAGGCTGATTACATTTTTCTTTTTTTTATTTTCATTGTCAGATATAAGATGTAGAGAAAGGACACAGGTCTGCATTTCTGTTATGTGAATCTGTTTTCTCTGTATGACAGGTCTGTGAGGTAATGTATAATAAGCACACTTGGTGGTAATGTAATGACTTGTAAAAACTTATATCTTTTCTTCCTTGTCAATGTTGCTAACTAATAAATTAAAGCTCTATATTTTATAATAACAGGTGTTCTCTAGTATTTTACAGTAAATAATAATAATGGGAAAAAGTACCACAGTAGCACTATTTTTGTTCAATATAAATACCTTTAAAAACACATTTAGAGAAGAACAGGAAAACTTGTTTTGTTTCTAGTATCAGGATTTTTGGGGATAATTTACAATACAAGATAAATGGCATTTGAACTATTATTTATACCCCTTGGAATAATAAAATCCTCATGGGCTTTAAAAAATAAAACAAATTCTTTCATTGCTGACCATCTAGCATGTTTCCATCCATTTCAATTGATTTATCTTGATAAGCTCTTGGTAGGCCTGCTACCCATCACCCTGATGGTTCAACTCAATAGTCTTTACATCATTCCATGCAACACAGAACAACTTCATTCCTTTCCTGCCTCCCATGTTCTTTGATCTTCTTGATGTCTACTTATTATTGTTTGATAAAAACCTCTGAGGCCCTTACAGTATAGCTGGATTTATACTGATTGCATTACATAGAGATGGACTAAATTAACAAGTTAAATAACTTCTGTAAAGGATTGATTAGAAGTTTATTTGGTATAATATGATAAAACAGGCTTTTGGCCCTAAACTTTGTTATGATCCTCCTTATTTGGTGTGGTGACAGCTGCTCCGGCAGAGAAAAATATTCTAATTCCTCACATAAAGCTAGTTTATGTTGATATAAAACTAAAACAATGGCATTCAATGACTATGAGTGCCTTTTATTAATTTATTTTCTAAGCAGAAATTAAAAGTAAAAACCATTCCCTCCAAAGAGGAGCTAGAAACAGAAAACTAAAAGAGGAACCAAATACAGTATATTCTTAATGCGTTTAGGCTCACTTAGAGTACACAAGCTTTGTTATGTTCTACATTCTGATCTTCTATATCTGTCCTACTCTGGGTGCTAAAGTTACCTATTTTACAGTTCATACACAATGGTGAGATCAAGAATATGAGTGTATACAAATTTAAACTCACACTGCATATTCATGCAGACCAAAGTGAAAGTGTGAGTGGATTAGGATCCTTAACCACCTTTAGATTTAGGTCAATGAGATCTGTCTGGTGAAACTGCAAATCTCTTTAAGCACTTCAGAACTCCCCTTTAGGCTGTTGGATCCCATGAAAAAATAAATTAATTGAACACGTCTTTGTTTCCTGTGGATGTGTCTCAGTATTTGACCAATAAGTTGGTGTTCTTGATGAGTATTTATGCTGATTTTGTGTTGGTTGTGACAATCTTATCCCATCCTTGCATCTTGTAGAAATCTAAAACCACCATTAGTATAACATCCCTTTTCATTTCTGGAAACATTAAACACTAAACTTGAATATGAACAAGACTTGAACCAAGCTCTTTTAGTTATACAGGCATCTCCTTTGAAAGAGCCTAAGAAGATGGGATAAGCACTTGAGCCGATGTTCATCTTCCGCTGAGCACAGCAAAGTACCCTAAAGGTTATAGCACTCCTACAATGATATATGTCTCCTTCCCTTCACACCTTTGCCCTGTAACTGTATTGTCCTTGTCCTCCATTGGTCAGCACTGGTCAGGTGGGCTTTTGGAGTCCCAAATCCTTCCCTGTGACAGGAAAAAATACTCAAACAATCCCCAGCTGCGGGCAGTTGGAGCATCAGCTGCGTGCTTGAAGGCACCGGTCAGACAGTAGTAGGTGAGCAGCCACCCGGGACCTGCTTCCATTTTTCCTGACACTTGGCTTTTGAAAGAGAGGGAACCAAGCGGGGAAAAGTAGGATGGGGGCCGGAGCCAGCGCCGAAGAGAAACGCTCCAGGGAGTTGGAGAAGAAGCTGAAGGAGGATGCAGACAAGGATGCAAGAACTGTGAAGCTGCTACTACTAGGTAAAGAGACACCTGTTGGAGGAGTGATTCATAAATGATGGCTGTAATAACTCATAGTCAGGTTAATGCCATTCCCAGACATTTTATTATTCTTTTATTATTCTAGTTTATGAGTGAAAGATGAGTAACCTCATTGCTATTTTACTCGTTTTGGAGAGAAATATTTTTGAGGAAAGCAAATTCCCCTAAAACAAATTTGGCATCAACTTTCATATATCAATTTAGGGTCTGCTTACAAGTCATATAAGGAAATTCCTTTGGCTGATTCATTGTTGCAAATATTAGACCTTGTTCTTGTTCAGACCTGTAATTTTACTAGAGCTTGAAAGTCTTTAACAGATGTAAAGATGCAACGTGTCCAAGTCAAGTAGGAGCTTAATAAACTGTGTCACTGAATTGCTGAGACACTCAGATAATCACAGAAGCCAATCTTGTGTTAATCCTGACACTACAGGTCCTCCTGGACAATGGGATTAACACTGAAGGACAGTGAACCCGAACCAACAAACCCAAACAGAGATATAGCACCATTATGTTTACAGCTCAATAGTTCAGCTTAAACTAGAGAAATTTTGCAGTTTTGCCATAGTTCAAAAGATATTTTTTTTTACATTCATTGTATGAAAAAAAATATACATTTAATTATATCTTTTTGCATGAAAATAACTGAGTTGTAATGTTTAATGATGATTTTTAGATTTCTAATATTTTATATATACAAAGAAACCAATTTCAGATATTTAGTAATGCTTCATCATCACCTATTGATGATATGGGTCAGGGTCAAGGAAAAAGATTAGGGCTGAAGTAAGAGGTATTATGCATCTTATTGAGATCAACTCTGTTAGGGCATAGTATACACATTATTCAAATATATTACAAACATAACTGAAAAACACAATTTCTCAAAAGGATATTGGTAACTATGTCAAAGTTGAGTGCTTAGACACGGAGAAGCATGTAGTTCTCTTCAAATCAAAGAAAATATGAGTATATTCCAGTAGTACCTACAAGAAAAAAAATCTCTTTGACATATTCTCTCTCACATAGGGGCTGGAGAATCAGGCAAGAGCACCATTGTCAAACAGATGAAGTAAGAACTTTACATACAAGCTATATTTTATATTCGTTTGTTCAGACTGAATGAACTGATTCACACTGAGCTTTCTCCATCCAGAATTATCCATAAGGATGGTTACTCGCTTGAAGAATGCTTGGAGTTCATCACCATCATTTACAGCAACACTCTGCAGTCCATAATGGCAATCGTGAAGGCTATGAACACTCTTAACATTAACTTTGGCCACTCTGATCAGCAGGTAACAAAGCAAACATTCCCTAGTTAAAACATTCACAGTAAAACTTCTCATATATAATTATCTGACTGGGTTCTTTCTGTAGGATGATGCCAGGAAACTGATGCATCTTGCAGATACCATTGAGGAAGGAACGATGCCCAAAGAAATGTCAGACATCATCCTGCGTCTGTGGAAGGATTCTGGCATCCAGGCTTGCTTTGACAGAGCCTCAGAGTATCAACTCAATGACTCAGCTGGATAGTAAGCAACAACTTTGAGCATTGCTTAAGTCAGAGGTCTCGAACCCTGGTCCTCCGGTTTTAGATATATCCCTGCTCCAGCTGAAGCAAATCAATCATCCCTACCAGGCCTTTGGTAAACCTAATGGCACATTGAAGTGGTAATTTACTCCTTTTAAATAGTAGTGTTGGAGCAGGGATGCATCTGAAATCCGTAGATCTTGGGGACCAGTGTTTGACACTCCGGCAATCTTTAAAAAAAAGTATCTTGACATAGTACAATTTTCCTATAGCTACCTTAATGACCTGGAGCGACTGGTTCAACCAGGCTATGTGCCCACTGAGCAGGATGTGCTACGTTCAAGAGTGAAAACCACTGGTATCATTGAGACCCAGTTCTCCTTCAAAGATCTAAACTTCAGGTGAGTTTGTTAATTATTCCTTAGAAAACAAGAGTTTAGCTTGGATAATTATATTGAATTTTTTGTTTTTCTTTGGTCCAGAATGTTTGATGTTGGCGGCCAGAGGTCAGAGAGGAAAAAGTGGATTCATTGTTTTGAAGGTGTCACCTGTATCATCTTCATTGCTGCTTTGAGCGCCTATGACATGGTGTTGGTGGAGGATGACGAAGTGGTATGATAGATTTAACCATTCTAAATATTTTATGTTAAAAACTCAAAAACTAGTTAACTTGTTAAATGCTGGTTTAACTTGTTAAATGCTATCTCCTCTCAGAACCGGATGCACGAGAGTCTGCACTTGTTCAACAGTATCTGCAACCACCGCTACTTTGCAGCCACCTCCATTGTGCTCTTCCTCAACAAGAAGGATGTGTTCATTGAGAAGATCAAGAAAGCTCATCTCAGCATGTGCTTCCCAGAGTATGATGGTGAGGTCTCCATCAACTACTGATACCATCTTCAATGTATAATATAACAGTGTTATCAGCGTAACAGGATCCAGTCTGGAAAATTGAAAATAAACCAATTCAGGCTTTGACTGTCACTTTGTAGTGGCTGCTGAAATCAGACATTCATAGACGCAGCTTGTAGATTTTGGAAAATTAGCAGAATGTGTTGTGAGCTTATTTTCTTTGGTTGCTTAGCATCCATTTCTCCATCTATTTCTGAAAAGGAAGCATTTACAAAAGGCGTAAACTTAACTTCTATTTTCTTTTGTCCTGCCAAGGCCCCAACACTTATGAGGATGCTGGTAACTACATCAAAATGCAGTTCCTGGACCTGAACCTGCGCAGAGACATCAAAGAAATCTACTCGCACATGACCTGTGCTACAGACACAGAAAACGTCAAGTTTGTGTTTGATGCTGTAACCGACATCATCATCAAAGAAAACCTGAAAGACTGCGGTCTCTTCTAAGAGCCCAGCCAGGAAACCAAATTAAGGTCAGCAAAGCTTAAAGGACTAGTTCCTAACTAAGACCCATTGCTCACCTAACTAACATGTTTTTTTTTTCTTTTACAGTGTAGTGTCTTAGCCCTGTCACATTCCACAGAGTCCTCCACAATTTAAACATGGGGAATGAAGAATGAAACTGTCCCAGCAAAGAGCCATCCTAAAACCAGTGAATGCACAACAAAAATAAAATTACATTTGCTGTGTTAAAAATCAAACCTGCAGCTTTGACCAAAGACTCCTTGTCACTGAGACATGGAACGAATCTTGTGCAGATCTCAAGAGGGTTGCTTTATTTTTATTTATTTATTTATTTATTTATTTTTTTTGATCAAACATTCTCCTAAATTCATCTTTGGAGGGCAATGCAATCTTTAGCTTTTGTCTGCATAAACAGATTTCTTTTCAGATCTACTCCTATCAATAGATGCAGTGTCTCTGAGCTCAAGTAATCAAGCAGCATACAATCAATCAAAGGGCTAATTAAATGGTCTCACCACCTGCAAATGCACTTCAGCATCAGTTAGACTTTAAGATGAATTTTCACTAGAAAAAGCGTTTTATAAAAAATACAAAACAACACAGTTTGTAACACAAGAAGTTTATCATTTTAACTTCTGAGGGAAGTGTTAGCTTCTTTTTGTTGTTGTAGAGGTTGAAAAGGGCCATTGTATATAATTACTCAGATTTCTAATGGTGTGTCATTATACTCTGTAAATCAATATACTGTTAAGTTAGGGATTCATTTAACTCCAATTTGAAGTTCCCTGTTTAAAGCATTTGAGTCAATTTATCTGTACTAAAATCCAGAGAAAACCAGAAATGTACAAGTTTGATTAAACTTATTAAAGCTTCTGTAGAAAACTCAGTAGTGTGTCCATTTTTTTGGCATGAATATCTGCACAATCGTGAATCTAGAGCGTTTTACATCAGGGAGGGAAGGAGGCTCAAAATGTCTAATGACTCCATCGCTTTCCAGTCTCAAAATGTCAGGGTGGCAAAACTGGCCCCTTCTGTGAAATATGTAATTCAGTCTCTCATAAGTAAATGGAATAAACAAAACCTCCAGGGAAAAAAAGCACTTAAGCTTTTTAATGTGTGATTTTCTCTTCTAAGAAACAAATGAAAACTTTAGGGTGGGGGGCAGTCCAGGAAAAACAAATGCTCCACAAAATGAATAAGGTAAATAAATAACTTTAATTAACATTATTATACATACCGGTAATCATTATGACTAATTTCAACCATCTCTCTTTGGAGGGTTTATGATTATTGTTTTGTTGGAAAAAAAACAAGAGAACCAAATGTAATATCTCTACATTGGAATTCCTACTGAGAATGAATACATAACAGGTGATCCAGTTGGATAGGCTGGATTCCCACTCTTCACCTCTTACTCTAGCATTATTTTCCTCATCTTTACTCAATTCTTTAGCTGTTGCACGTTCAGTTGACTCTTTCACCCATGACCCAGAGGTGGGTCCATTCTTGTGTACTTTGACATGTACACAATTATGAGAGTACATGAATTAGGAAATACACCACCTCTGGAACAAGCAGTTTTAAACCAGTGGGTGACAACAATAATACCATTATGTCCTACTTTTATATTTTAAAGTTATGTTAATAAAAAACTGACCACAAAAATGCAGCAATTAATTATTCTCAATATAAGTAAATAATAATTCCATTTAATACATAAAATAATTTAAACAGCAATGATGTTTAAATATTTTCATAGCTTTATTTGTTAGAGCATCATGACAATCTGGTCTGTCCTCATTGATTTTTTGGAAAATATAAATTTCTATGTTCATGTTTCTGTTGGTTCATTGTGATCAGTAAAGATTGACTCAAAACTGGTTTTGGCACCAATTAGTTTTCAGCCACATTTCAGTACATATTGGAGTCCCTGCCTGGCCAACCAATAAAAACTTCCTAGAACTGCTGGTCTCCTCCCTTTTCTCCTTGAGGTATGTTTCCTGCAAAGTCTTCCAAATTTCACTCACTTGTGGCACTCGTCAGCTGAAAACATAGAGGTGTATAATTCGATATAACTGGCATGAATATTTGCGTATTGTTTGACACACAGGCTTATATCAGTGCCAACTACTCTTTCGCATGGATCTTAAATTTCTGAATAATATATGCAACTATATTAGCAGGAACACCAAGCTGCTTGTAAATGGTCTTATAGCCTAACCTTTAACATGCTTGTCCATGATTTTCTTTCTTATCTCTTGAGCCAACTCTTTCCTTCTCTTCCTCTGGTCCATGGTGAGTGTGGTACACACCATGGGTGTGTTCAGATCCAGTGTATGGGTTTGTCTTAAATGAATGAAAATTGTTCATTTAACTGGTAGGTTAGATATGTCATGAGAATTTTTGGTTTATTGAAATGTTTCATCTGTGCCTGTACAAACTGGTTTGCATTAGATCTACTATTGCATATAGTTGTACCCAAGTAATGCAAGCAGTGTTTAAAGATGGAAGCATAAATAACTAGAGTGCAGACCTTTGACAAGGAGCAAATTTAGCCCCAAATTGTGACTTACACCTACAGCTAAGTCTAACACAAGATTTGGATCATTACCCAGTTTTAATGAATTTGTCCTTAGTAGGATGCACACCTCTGGTAAAAAAAAAAGAAGAAAAAAAAGCTATCCAAGTTCATAAGATTTCAATTGATCCACTGATAAAATACCTCCAGATGTTATGAGTCCGATGCTAAAGTTCAATTCAATTGCCACTGCTGGCAAACCCCTGGTTTACAGAGTAACTGCTTGTTCAACCAAAAATCCCTATCTCATAATTTTAAAGAATTTCTTTAAAAATATCCTGTATCCAGAATATAATCTGAATAATCACCAAAACTTAATGGATTGTTACTGGGAATGAGGGACACCTGTGATAAAAAATGTCATTAAAATCCGTCAAAATTTTTAAAGTTATCCTGTACACAGACAGAAAGACAGACCCACAAACTCTCCAAAAAACACAGCCTCCTTGACGGAAGTAATAAAGGTCATCATAAATGAGAAAGTAGTAGGCAACATTTCAATTTTATTTCTTACGAAAGCATTCACTGATTTTTGTAATTCTATTAAACCCTGAGTTTTTAACCACATAGCAGATATGACATGCACTAAAAGAAACATTCAGTCTCTTCTGTAAAAGTACATACCATAAACAATTATCACCAATATGAACCTAGCATCTAAAAAACACATTTTATGGCTTGAAATGGATAAAAAGAACTGCAGATAAATATGGAATGAAACATTCGTGCAATAAAAAAGTGGCTGTAAAATATGTTTAACAATGTTTTTTCCTTTCTAATATGCACCATATAGCATCCAGAAATACAAAGACAAATAGAAGGCACTTGAACAGTCATCCCTGAACCTTTACTCTGTTGGGGGCATACAGCAGTTATTTGCCCTTTCTAAGACAAAAAAAAAATGTAGGAAGATGAACACTTGACTTTCTCAATCTCCTATTTTCTCAGACTTGTCTGCCAGTTTTAAAGGCAGGACAAATTTTTCTCTCCAGAGCTTCTATTCCTGCCTAGATATGTATGAGCAATTTAACAGAGATGCACCAAGGAACTGATTGGCGATTAGGTTTTGAATGAGTTTTGACCGGTGACTAAATAAAAAAAATTATAATAAAATAAACAGATTTCTTTCGAAACTGTGAAGTGAAGAAGTTTAACCTATTTCAGTAGGAGGTCAAAACTAAAATCTGGTGAAGTGAAGAAGGTTTAAAAGAAAGAACTTTGAACAACATGTGGAAATTGGATTAGGAAAACCTTTATCCGATAACAAGAAGTCTGAGCAGATTACAGAAATGACGCTCTTTTTATCCTATTAAACTTTTAACCACTATGTGTCATGAAACACATTAGAGTTGGAGATTTTGGCAGCCTTTTGAAAAATAAGAATAGTTTCACAGCCGTTGCTCTTTCTCACACACTTATATTACCTTTACTTTGAATATAAATAACTAATAACTTCTCGCAGGAGAAATTTAGAAAAAAATAAAAAACTGAATGTTGTTTGTGCCTATATTAAGATTTAATTTCTTAAAGTGATTAGGATCAGCTAAAACCAGCATCAAAGTTTTACTAAATCCAGCGATTTGCCATGAGGTTCTGAAGGGTGCATCTCTATTTTGGATATTTTACTTTATAATTGTCAAAAAAAAAAAAGGAAAACAAAACCAAAGCCATACAGTAATGCTGATTGAATGAAAAATAACTGGAGTGAAAAGCAGCAGTTTTGAAGCATTTTAAAAACGGTCTGTGCAGCCCTTACATAAAATCCCTGATCTAATCAAGTATCTTAACTTCAAAAGGAGGCACTAATTCTCAGGTTTTAAAGACTGGCTTCCATGAAGGCCATGTTTCTTACAGGTCATGTATTGAATTAAAGTGAGGTTAATGGCACTGATCCCATTATGTGGTTATTTCTGTCATGTCTCACAGCTCTGCTGAATTTACATGTGCATGCAGTATTTACCCACAATACTTGAGCAGATATCTCAGCTAGTCTAAAAACCTCTTTTTCTCAGTTTAGAAATAATAATGAAAACTCCTTCCTTTAACCTGAGAGTTATCATCACTATTTTATGCTAATTTCCACTACCAGAAACCTTTTTCTTTAATACCATAAGTGATAGAATTGTGTTCTCAGGATTCATTGGTGTCTGTTTCCTGGCTGGTTCCAGAGCTGAGAAACAGGCGAGGACGAAGACTCTGACCAGAGGACGCTGTCTTCTGTAGTCTTTTAGATGCAATGTCACCACTTCTGTCCTTTGTTCTCAAAAAAGTCCCACCATATGATCAATCTGCCTCATGTAGACACTCTTTAATGGCAGAGCATAGCGGCGCTCCTCAGGAATCCTGTTACACTGCAGAATCAGATAGAAGAAAGCAGTTAAATATAATTCCTATTAAATCTGTTATGACATTTCACACTTTTCCACATTCAGATTTCTTTTAAAAGCATTTTTTAAAATACTACAAAAAGCTATAACTCGACAGTGGGGGAATGTCTGTGTTGTGTTTTTTTTGGTCTTACATTACTGATGTTGCTTGTAGGCAACTGGTTGTTCGCAGCCTCTTCACATGGAGACAAATCGCTCCACTGTTTCTCCCTGAAGCGCTTGTCTATAGGCACTACATGACCCTCTGTTGTGAAGATGTACTTGTTGTCAGATTTGTGCAGTGGGTTGTCTTCGTCAAACAGCTGCAAACCAGAGAAAGAGACAACAATGAACACTCAGTAAAACACTTTGAAAATCAAAATTCAAAAAGGACAGAAGACCTTATTCCTTTTGTAACATAAAAAAAGAAGAAAAGAAGTGTAATTACCAATAAGCGTCCTTAATATGGTAAAATAGTAACATCCAAAGAGTGTTTGGATAATGAATTAAAAAATAATAATAATAATAATAATAATAATAATAATAATAATAACAGAAACAAACAAAAAAATGAACAATCCAGAACCTTAATGCTGATACAGGAACTTATATTTTTTTACTTTGTAACTTAGTTTTTTCAACTCTCTTACCTTGCTTATTATTTTTTCAACTAAACTTCTTAACTTTCTCTTTTTACTTAATTTAGAGTAGGTAACATACCACACACAGTATAGGCCACATTAGATTACTGGTGTTACTATCCTATAAAGCAGTTACATTAAACCTTTTGGATAGAAGCGGACCTTCCAGACCCTGCACACCACATTTGACCTCAAAATTCTGCCTTGCTTGCAGAGTTACAAGTTACCAAAAATTGTAACTTGCACAATCTTGTATTGTTTTGTATGTTAACATTAGATTGCAAGTCGTCCATTTCAGCACTAGAGGTCACTAAATCTTATGTTTTTGTCCATAGCCACACATAAGAGACAAAAGAATTACCCCAAAAATGTTTCCACTTCCGCAAATTAACATCAACCACAGTATAATATTAAGTTAAAACTCACAAGATAAAGGTATTTGCAGGTTTCACTGAGGAAAAAGCTCTCCATGCGATCTTCTTTGGATTTATCCACAACATGATGGAGTGTAGCATATCCACATCTGCAAGCAACACACCACAGTTCAGTGTAAAATAGCAAATGTACATGAAGTTTTATTTATACATGTTAAAAAACGGTTGAAACAAAGTAAGACATACAATATAAGTATATCAATACCTGACTTTGGCATTTTTCTCCAGGCTCTGGAGAATATCCATTCCAACATGCAAATAGAAAGGATTTTTTGTTGCCTGTTAGAAGAAAATGAGAAAAAAAAAGACTCGTTAAAAAAACAAGGTTTATTGATAAAACCCAAATCCTTTAGGGTTAATACCTGGTACAGCAGGTAGGTCGACTCCACCAGCTCTGGTCTTAAAGGGTAAAATAACACATCGGGAGCCTTCAGTTGCCAGTTATATCTCTCCGGCAGAGCTCCGAAACGCTTCCAGATGGCGTAGTAGAAGGCATGCAGGCAAATGGCATCATCGATATCTCCATTCAGAACCTTTAAGTTACAGATACCCTTATTATTGCAACATCATTTACAATCACATTTCTGTCAGTGTAAATCAAAGGATCCCACCTGCAGTCCAGGAAAGAAGGCCTGAAGAGAATCGATCCAAGTGTTCATTATCTCACCGCTGAACATGTTCACATTCACATAGAGAGGCGGGTCCCCCTCACCTTCGTTGCAAGACTCCCGCCTGCAGAAGAAAAAAATGTATCAGAATATTCAATTTCACATTTTTAAAGAAAAACACGTAGCTATACGGCACTTTTCATAGACACTCTTAACTTCTTCACATGTTTTTTTTTTTTACATAATAAACCTAAACTTCAGCAAATTGTATAGGGATTCTATGTGATAGACCAACAAAGAGCAGGGCAGTGCAGCGAAACTGAAGGAAAGTTATTATTGTTTTTTGCAGGATTTGCATTTAAATAAAGCCCAACATAACATCTAGTCTAACAGGGGAGTGGCAGCCTAGTGTTTAGGGCATAGAGCTTGGAATCCCGAGGTTCTGAGTTCGAGCCCCACTCCCACAGACTGCCACTCTAGGTCCCTGAGCAAGAACCTTAACCCCACACTGATCCTTGGGTGCCCCACAATGGCAGCCCACTGCTCCCCAAAGGGATGGGCTAAATGCAAAGGTAAATTTCACCAATGTGAGATCAATAAAGCTCAATTATATATCAATTATTAATTAACAGAAGCATGAACACCTGTTTGTTTAAGGTTACCTCCAAAGGTTGACATTGGAATGTTGAATATAAATGAACATGACATTTTTGTTGTTTTCTGTTTTGTTGTTTTGGAGTGGCGGCCTAGTGGTTAGGGAATTGCGCTTGGATCCCAAAGGTTCTGAGTCCAAGCCTCACTCCCTCTGACTGCCAATCTGGGTCCCTGAGCAAGACCTTTAACTCCCACCTTGTTCCCTGGGTGCCACAGAATGGCAGCCCACTGCTCCCCAAATGCAGAGAGTGAATTTCATTGCTTTGTTGTAGTAATAATTTAATGACAATGAAGTTGAATTCTATTCTATTCTAAGTAAAATCTTGTATACCTTCCTTTCCAGTTCAAACCAAGGAACTACTTTGTTTTTTAATTAAAATCCCAAAAATATGCACTGAGCCCTGCAGCTGCAACATGAAAACACGTGGGAAAGTTCATGGTGTAAAAGTAATTCAGCAAAACACTATATATGATAATTAGCCATGCTATAATTATAATTCTTTTGCAATTTATAGCTTCCACATAGAAAATTACTCTGGAACATCCCCTTGTTTAATTCCTCTTTTTGGACATTTCCTGACAAACACAGATCCTGTTGCTGACATACGCTTAGCATTTCAGCAGCACTCTAATCTATATAATAATAATTCAGTAGAATAAAATATAAAGAGCATAAAATGGTCCATCTCTTTCAGTGTGGGACTCACCCTCTTCTCATGTGGTTCTGAATGCTCTCATAAGCAGCTTTAAACATCTGGTAGTCCTCTTTCTCCCCAAAAAGGATGTAGGATTTAAGCAAATACTCATAAAAGGAGTCCATGCCGGCTCCAAGTCCACTCTGCTTACCGACCCACTGGCCTGTTTGGATATTAATAACATTTCCTGAAGAAAGGAACCACAGAAAAAAAATGAGAATAAGAAGCAAGGGGAACATATTAAAAAGAAAACAAGAGGAATAAGGGCCTGCATAGTGAAACTAGAAGTCATTCACACGAATTTCACTTACCCAACAGACCAGTTTCATTGCTTCTCAGACTCCACAGAGCTCTGACAGCTCGCCTCGCCACCCATTCAAACGTTGAATCCCCAATCAGGCGGCTCAGAATGCCAAACTCCACCAGCAGAGACCCAGCGCCTGCAGTGCATGTCTCATTGATGCTATCCCTGGGAACTCCAGTCTTCAGGTTCACCTGCAAGCAGAACACAGACCAACGATGAGTCTTGATCTTGCACTTAGAGGAGGAAAGATCTCACTAGCAATAGGAGGAGACATCTCACTCACCCTTGGGTAAGGAATACCCGTGCTGGTGTTCTCAAAAGCAGGCAGCAAGCGCACAGCCAGGTCATGAGCCAGATGTAGAAGCTCGTTTTCATAGCCTTCGATGCCCACCTCTCCAAATGGCTGTCTAGGGTCAGTCAGCAGAATATGTGCTGAGATAAGGCTGCCAAGGATCCTTCAGAGATAGAAAAGGAAGGTGGACTTTACAGATATTAAGGGGCACAGGGGCATTCACACTTATCTAGCTTTAAGATCTTGCTGCTTGATCTGCCCAGAACAGGAAAACTCAATTAATACTGGTAAAAGGCAAAACTGTTTTATCATTGCATTAAAAATAATTTTTACCATTCAAAATATGGAATCTTTTCCCTCATTATGTCTTTTTGAAAATAATAGTGAAACCCAGTAAAAACAGCAACAGCCCTCTCTCACAAGACATGATGTCACTCCAGCCCCTATTATAGATAATTAACAACTGCCAACAAAAGGATGGTTTGAGAGAGATTTTGAACACAGGACTTTTATCCACTTATATTATAGTGATTAAGGAGAAGTCAGAACTGAATAATGTATTTTAGCCAGCTATAATGAGACACACAATGAAGGGAAATTGTCAAAATAAAGAAAAGAATGCAGCTAAATGATCCAGTTACCTCATGAGATGGACATAATAGTGACAATTAGCCATTTTAAAAGCTGAGAACATGCATCAAGAAGCACCTAAACAACTGAATCTTTAACCTTGTAACTTTGCTATGATGAAAAAGAAAAACTGACCACAAGCCAGACAGTTTTCAGAAAAATCTAAAGACACTTTTATACCTGATGTTTGCCTCGAAGACTTGCACAGTCGAATCCTTGTCAAAAGACACGGTATCTATAACCAGTTTGACAGCTCTCTGGAACTCTGTAACATTGCCAAGCACCTGGTGGAACAAGAAACCCAGTTGACCACAACTGCATTATCTCTCTGATACTGCAGCATGTTTTAAAAGGAAAACCCTTAAAAGGGCAAATGTTAAGGCTTATTCAAATACAGTCACTTTAAGAGCAGCGGAAGACTAATGTCTTAAAAAGCAATTAGAAATGTTGGGGTAAAGAGGAAAGGTTCAGGTTTACATTCTTGTTTCTTTATTTTTTATCTTCCCAGCTTAGTCCTACGATAGACGAAAGGAAAAAATAGGAACTAACTTACCAGAAGAGTGTCTAAAGTGTCAATGAGTGTCAGTGAATAGTTTCCCAAGACGTCATTAATATTGATGTTTGACCTAAAACAAAACAAAAACAAAACTTTCTTTAGACACCACAAAACAGAACAGTACAATTTCCTGTGTTTACTTTTTAGAGTTCACACAATGTTTGGAGAAGACATGTAATCAGTCTAATCAACTCTTCAAAGTCACAGTTTGCTTAGTTTTGGAAACAGGCAGCTGATCTGACAGCAGAAGGTGTACAAATGTGTAATATGTTATATTTACTTCAAGATATTGCTCTGCTTCTACCTTACTGTCTAATAAACTGTGACCTACATTAAAAGGTATAAATGATGAGGGAATTTGTTCTAAAAAAAAACAAAAAAAACTCTCTTATGCATATAATCAAATATGTTTATAAGAAAAAAAACATGCCCTTTTTTTTATTCTTTTAACTGTTTTGACTTTGCATCAAAACATTCAACATAAATACTACCTTAAGAACTTGGAAGTGTAGAGGGTGTAGTCAAAACCTTAACCATACTGAACAACTGTGAGGTTACATGAGTCACAATGACCAATACAACCACTTTGGTTAACACGTGATTCTTCTCCATCGTCACGATCACTGCTCTATGAGAGCTGCAGGAGCTTTATTAATAAATGTGTATCTGGTTTGGGCATAGAGAGCTCTGACAGTCCATCCAACTGACCAAAGATACAAGCATGTAGATTGTAGATAGATGGCAAATGTAATGCCCAACCAAATAATATACTGCATCCAATAAATTGTTTGCAGTTACAATCCAATAGATTGTGCAGCTCTGCAACTTTAAGGGTTGTTCTCTTTAACTAAACATGACTTATTACCTAATGACTTCTTGGTGTTTTTTTTAAAGCATGCAATTATTAATATACTCATTTTACTATTTAAAAGGAGCACAATTTATTTTTGTTCCAAAAACCAATTAACATGTGATATGAAATAGATTTGTCAAAAATTAGAAATCTTTGAAATTCATTTTATAAAGATTGTTCTTTTATGGATTATCTCATGAGAACTGGGGTTTCAAATGATTGACCTAGTTTGAAATAAACTCTTAAAATTGGTGTTTGACACTTTATTTTCTGAAACATTTATTGCTTATTTTACACAAAGTTTAGAAGAGCACACACCTAAAAGTTATTAAAGGTTGTAAGAACTACATTAAAAGGATCTCTGATAAGTTTAAAATCATCCTATATATATATTTTTTTTTTTTACAATTTTTTGTACAATTGTTGCTTGGTCCGCTAAATGTATGTTTTAGAGTCTCTATAGTCCAGTTAATGTTTAATCTATTACTAAATTAGTTGATGATTATTTCAATTATCGATTAATATTGATTAATCCAATTAATTGTTTCAGCCCAAAAACAGATTAATACTTATAGGGGAGTGTTGGCCTAGTGGGTTAGAGAAGTGCTCTAGTGCTCTGAGAAGGTTGCAAGTACACTGAAAAAAATTATATAAAATATGTCCTACCCTGTACCATGAAACAATTGTGTTAAAGTAACTAAATATGATTAAGTAAATGCCAAAAACGGTTGTATTATTTTTTTTTTCAGTGTACCCCTACAGCATCCACTCTGGTTTCCTAAGCAAAACCCTTAACAGCTCTCCAAAGGGATGGTTCAAATAGGACAACAAAGGGATCTACATTACATTTCCATATTTCAGAGCTGTGCATAGATATAATAGACACCATGGTGAAGTTTGGATATGGAAGTTGTTTTCAGTGGCTAGCTATGGTGGTTCAGCTCTCTCTGCTACCGGTACATCAGATCTGTAAAATTAAGCACCTGATATAAAATAATCCAGCATACATCAACATTTCGATTTTAAGGTATGTCATGTCTTTAAATGAGGAGTGAAACATCTCAGACATGAGGGTCAGTGCGCCTCTAGGACATGTTGGGAGATGTATGGACCACTTGGCTCTTTAGCAAAGCTGACACGCCTTATTTGGCAACAAAGTGAAAATGCTAATTTCAGCTTAGTTAAAACCACTGACTGATAAGGATGAGGACTGGCCAGTCCCCATAGTGACTTACGGGTTAAGCACATCTGGACCTCTGCCCTCACAATCAATGGGATTCAGCTCATCCTCTGGAAAGGCATACTTCATGTAGTTGTCGTATCCAAAGTAAAACATTTCTCTGGCCATGTCTTTCATTTTCAGCTTCAGCGTGTCTGGGAAGGAGCTGTACCTCCGGACGTACTCGTCCTTGTTGCCATCAAAGAAGTTAAGGTAGGACCTCCAGGGTGGGGAAGCCTCCCCAATATTTGCGCAGGGACTCGCCGTCTCTTCATACCTGTGGCCCTGGATCCGCTGGGACCAAGAATTAGTGCTCGAGTCGGCTGTTTTTTCCTCCCTGAACAGCAAGTCCAGTTTGTGCAAATTAAAACCGAGGTGAAAGTTGAAGCCTGAGCTAACGTTAGGTCCAAGCCCGAAGGCTAGCCATAGAACCCAGCTTACAGAGAGTCTCAGGACCACCAAGCCCACTACGAGTGACCTCCATTGCATCTTTGCCTTGGGTCGATCATAAAGCACATAACCCGAGTCCTCATTACCTCCGAGGTGTATCCGAACAGGAAAACCACTCAGCGTCAGACTAAAACTACAGGCACTCAGCCTCGTAGGTTGGGGATTCCTCCTCACACACTTCCTGTCAACAAACCAGCCCACCCCAGATCCGGAGATGTGATTGGCTAATTTCGGCAGTTGGAATTAGTCGGAAAGGCGGGTCCGTTTGCTGATTGGCTGACGAAGAGACGTCAGTCTTTACGTTAAGTTTCGTGGCACTCTGGAGTAACGCACCAATAAAAATGAGCCACAAGAGTGAATCTGTCACTGTTTGAAGCAGTGTAAGAAATATGCAAAAATAATGATTCAAACAGAGGCGACTGTGACCAGACGTCCCCAATTTCTGGGGATCGTCCCCGGTCTGGACCACCTGTCCCCGGAAATAGTTTTATGAATGAGAAAATGTTGGGAAAAATGTTGCGTGTAATCTGTTATTACGGTAAAAAGAGCGCGTGAGAATGTTGCTCGCAGAAACAGCTGCGGAAGCTGGCTGTGCTGCTGTTACCGTAAAGATGAGAAGCAGCGCGCACCACTTTTAAAACAGAAGAAGCAGAAATTCGTTGTTACAACCGGTCGAAGATGACTGGGAGCTGCCCTATTGTGGAAGCAGTATTAATCGATTTTTTTTTTCATCGGGCCGATCCTTGTGGTAAATGTTTAGTTCGTGCCCAGGTTAAAATGCAGAGTTTTGTTGTTCTGGCATGAGTAAAAGAGAATCGGATAAGATATAAAAGAATGATTGAAATATCCTTGCAATAAATATGTCAGCTGTCAATACACATTAATATATCACCCTTTACCTGCAGGGTTTGACTTCTCCTTGTTTTTGACCCAATGTGAACAGAATGAGAATTTGTTGCACTTTTTTGAAGAGGTGTGGGAATGTCTCCACAAATAGCCACAGCCATAGGCTAAATGTTGGAGAAATGTATTTACTTTTCTGTTTGTTTGTTTTTTTTACTGTTCATTATGTCAATCCTCCCTAAGGGGACGACTGAGCTAATTAGGCCCCACAAATTTGGAAATACTGTACAAAACAAAAGTTAAAGTTTCTTATTTTCAACATTGTCATATGACCTGGTCTAGCCACAATTACATCCATTACCTCATTGGTATTCGCCTTTCACAGGCACTGCAAACAGAACATAGTTCAATCAAACTGCAGATGACCAAAAACTTTAACAAGACATCTTTTCTATTCATTTATGAAACTTGATTAAATAAAACCATATTTTTTTTTTTTTTTCAAACTAAAGGATACACAAACCCATTTGTTGCTGATGAGGTTAGACAAGAAAATACAGTCAGTTGACCACTACACAAAATGTGGAAATAACTTCTTCTTTTGCAGAAGCAAAAAAACTCAACAACTTCTTAACTTTAACTTTCCATTTAGATTAGGCTACATTGTGTTCTGTTTGAAGACCTTGCATATCTCATGTCAAACAGATTTTATTTATTTAGCTATTATTAAGCCAATAACAATGCAGTTTGTGATATTGAACTGCTCTTTGAAAAACCTTAAAGGTCAACTTGGTCATCTCTGTAATGAGAAAATTCCTTTGTTTTTTTTGTTTGTTTCCAACCCTTGATCCTTTTATTTACATTGTTGTACAGAAAATGACTTGGGCAGATTTGCACCAGCAGGATCAGACAGAACCATTCCACCAAAACCTGGAAGGGAAACCCTCAGCTGAGAAGGTATAAATTAGGCAGTCAAATGTTTGTCTAGTTAGAGCAGATGGAACTGTTTGGATTAATTTAATTGATGATGGGTGAGTCTGTTATACCTTAATAATACCTGCTGTTACTTATCAGAACTAATGTTTTCCCCAAGTAGTTTAATTAGGACAATTCTTCTGTCAGGATAAAAAGTCACCTTAATTATCTATGTGGCAAAGATTTGGGAATGAGAGAGAGAAAGCTTTAAGGTGTAAACACAGAGCTTTCCATAACAGATTATTGACAGACCATAGTTGTTCTCCCCCACAAGGATAAATAAATGCTGCTTGTATGAAGATCTGCAATCTTCTCCTTGTTCAGTAAGAATAAAGCTTTTTTCTTTTCAATTAAATCTGTTATTTCATAAATTGACAAGTGATTAATTGACCAAAAAGATTTCTTCGAGTTGGTTTGTATACCTTTTTCTTAAAATCTTTTAAAAACTCAGTTTTGTACTCAGGATATCTCTCGGTAACATTTGTTTAATGAACTAAGACATTAACATATAAAAAAGGGCAAAACCTCAATACTTTTTCATAGCATTATATTCTACCTGGTATGGGGGAAAACAGGCTGACCAGGGCCTAAAATGTTAGTAAAAAGATCTGCATTATTTTTTGGCTTTGCAAAATCTAAGTATGAATGGGAAAAGCTGTAGCACAATGTATAAGTAACCATATAAATAACACAACCATGAGTAAATTAAAAAGCATGCCTTTTTTATTTTCTAACACATTGAGGTGGTTTTTTGGCTCTACACAGGTAGGCCCATCTTACATGCCACTTTATTCAGGAGAGAGACGCTGCACAAGGCACTTCAATTTCTGCCTCTCTCTCAAACCAGAGGCAGCACAGAAGACATCGTTCCACTGAGGCTACTATACACCGAGGCAAACATGAACCACACGAGCCTGTACAGCTTTACGTTTGGTACATTCAGACTTTAAATAGAATCATATATTCATACACACACATCCCACATTGGTAAAAATCATACTAGCAAGATAATTGTACAGATCAGCTTAAATTGAGCCGAATGCAGAATTTTCTAAAAGAAAAAAAAAAGGACATGCACTGATCCAAGAGGACAACCATAGGAACAGAGCAACAATGGAAATGAGGTTTAAATCAGCCACATCCTGGGATCATACCAGACTGTGTGCGGGACAAAATAAACCCCTTCCTCAGAGATTATGCATTATTTAAGCCACTGTCTGTAACTTTCCCCTAAAGTAATGCCTGCAATGTGAAAGGTAACTTAGAAATCAGTCAAGTACAGTTTCCACTGGCGTCTAATATCAAATTACAGAACCTTAGGTTTAAGTAGTGCATTATGAGTTTGTTGAAATATCCCCGGGGAGATAAAAAAAAAAGTGTGAAAGAAGAAAAACAGTGCAGCACGTTAAGTGGAAATGCTTCTGTACAATTGCGGTGAGGGTGTGACAGGACAGCACCAGGGCAAATACAGCACAGAAAAAAAAAATGCAGCCTTCAGCTCCTGCGAGACTTTGAGTGCTGGATGAGCCACTGAAGTGTAATATCTGCAATAGAGAGAAACAGGTTTAGAAAAAGAAAAAGATTTAAGGTTTCATAATGAAAATTTTAAAAATTCATAAATAAACTTTATTTAAATTATCAAATTTTAGAGCCAGACAGTCCAAAGAGCTATAGATTGAAAAGGAGAGATTCACAACAGGATTTTGCATGGCTTTAAAAAAATGTTTCAAAACCTTAGAGCCACACCCTTTAAAACAATAGTGAACAACCATATATGTAGGGCTTGATCTGGTTGCAAAGCTATGCACAACTCTTATTCTTAGTTGTACAAGCATAAAAGTTCAGTGCACATAAATCCTTAAAGTTCCCTTTTGTTTTTTTTTACCTATATTATGCAAAAGTAAACTTTTTAAATTTATTTTCTAAATGATATAATGCTCTCTTTATCAATATTATGCTTTAAGTGGTATTTAGCTTGATACATGCAGGTCTGAGTAATCCTGGTGAATTCTGCTCCATCACTGCCCTGGAAAATGAGTGTCCAGCATTGTTTTATGAAGAGCAGCGATCATCCACCCTCTCCAGGAAGCATTTACCCTGAATGCCCGGTGCCCTAAGTGGTGATATAAGGTGGAGCTCCATCATTTCTGCTCATAGTTGAGATGAAGAGGCTCTTTTAACACCTAATCAGCCCAGCAAGAGGAACTGTTTCCATTTTAGATAATGTCTTAGTCTGGAAAGAGTGTTTTTCAGCTGACCTTGTTCAAAGTTCCAAAAAGGGATCTTAATCGGCAAGCAATATTTCATATATACCTACAGTTAACTTTTGAGGGCTTCAAGAAAGCATTATATAGACTTAAGCATCCGAAGCATTAGTCCTCAGGTACTAAATGAAAAATAGTGGGTGCCAAAAGTGCTTTAATGCACTAAAACATAAAATTGAAACATCGTCCCATAAATATAAAATAGTATAACAAAAAACAAAGTACAAGTGTTTACATGGCTTCACACTAAACAAACTACATATCTTATGGTTCAGTGTCTCTCCATGGCAGTCAAATGGGAGCAGATGGTCAACTATTGTAGTATGCTCTTTATGACCTTTGGCCATAGCTAAACCATCTAGTCACACTTTTTTTTTTTTTTTAGCATCAAAATCTTCTGGACTTGGTCTATTTTAGACAATTCCTATCAGATCTTCCATTGGGTCTGAATAAGGGTCGCTCTACCAGCACAAACTGCAAAGTGTTTCAAAAACGTATGTGATTAAGGAAGTTGTTTTTTGGTTTTGCTTTCAAAACCTCAGTTAATACAAACTAGATTCATTACAAAGATACCTTTAGTCAATAACTTTAAATTATGAACATTTAACATGTAGTACTAAACACCACAGCAAAATCTTTTTTATTGTACATTTTCAATAAAACTGATAAAAAGTCAATAAAGTAGAATGGAATTGAAGTGTTTGAAGGAAAGAGAAAATATAATTTTGTCAGAGGATCAAGTTACTAGCACTAAAAAAAAAAAACAGACCAAACTAATGCTACTATTGCATTTATCTTTAAATGGAAAAATATAATAAGGTATAGGGAAACAGCAATATCCAGATTTAGGATGGAATTAACATTTAAGAATTATATGTAACAAACTGAACTGGCTTGAAATAAGGATTTTTAACTTTCAGTTATTGATTACCTGCAGACACCAATATTTCAGCTTTAACTATGTGTTAGAATGTTAGAAAACAAACTACAGTAAAGGCTGGTTACATATAAGCACCATGTATCATCGGATTAAATGGAATGGCATGAAAAATAAATTGCAACTTGCCAATGTTGTCTTTCTCTTTGCAGGAAAT